CCTGATTGGCTCAAAATATCAAGTGAGTTTACATTAGCTTGTTCAGAACACGTGAATGCATTATTAATCATCTATTTTGACTCCTTATGCATGTGAGGATTGCTTTAAACTTGTATTATTGGCATACAGGTGAGTTCCTATACCTTTAAAAACCACATCCTGTATCAGGGACACTCAGATCCACAGACCAGCTGCTTCTGGATCCACAAAAGTCCAGAAATCATCGAGAAACTCAAACCCTCTTTCTTTCCAAAGCTTGACCTTTCGGTGAGTCGGTGTGCAGAAGCTAATGTGTTTGACACCGGAGAAGATGAGGAGGGCAGCTGACCAAACAGGCAGGTGTAAACCTCCGTTCCTCGGGTTACCAAGGACGTGGCGGGTAGCAAGGCACCAACTGTTTCCTTGACGACTGCCTCCAGCTGTGCATTGACCCATAAGAGGTGATTAAGAGCAGAGACAGAAACGAGGGGGAAAAAGGAAACCCTGATTGTTGGAGGCGTTGAAATAGGAGCTGGGTGACCGCTTACACGATGACTGTTTCTGAACGTGGTGACATTCAAGTTAAGTAATCATCTGGCATTTTAAAGCAATCCATTTCTCAATGGGCTCATTAGAGTCGTAGCTGAAGTAGAGGTTTCTTTTACTCCTAGAGATTTGCATTTACAACGTCTCCGAGATGAGACGATGAGAAGATGTAGGAGGACTCAAGACTAGTGTCGCTTGTTTGCTCTCAATGTTGGGCCGATTCCAGGACGCCAAAAGATGAAAACACCCGTATCACTTTCCACGTAGACCTGCTTCACTTTAGCCGGAACCGTCACTAAGCTCTCCATCACGCACATCGTATTTAATGCGCACTCTCTTGAACACACAAAGACACTATACCAACTATTTAAAGGTGGTGTAGTCAGGATCTGAGGAAGTTCCAGTTTTTAGGAGAAATCTTGTATGTAAACTCTACCCCTCCACAAGCCCCGCCCACAAACAGACGCTCCTGCTCGCTCGTATCGTTCCAATTAAATTCAGATATAATGCAGATAAATACTTCAGATCATTACAAATGGGGCCCAGTCAAGGTGAAAGTCAAAAGCATTGGTGCTACTGTAGATGCCAACAGACTACCAGCAAACACAATGTTTGCAGGACTTCTACAACGAGGATAAAGTGACATAGTCCAGGACCCGAGGGAGGACAGTTTAGCGATGGCGCTACAACACGCTACAGCAGGTCCGTCTGACAAGAAACACTTCTGTTACAGACACTTGTCTTACTTTGTTAAAGCGGTTTACCTGTCCAGCAGAAAGGTTACAGGGTCACCAAGATCCCCAAGCGTCCCCCATGGTTTATGTTGACCCGGCTTTTTAGCTCTTGTCCGGTCTACCTCCGTTTTAAGCGCCCGTTATTCCTCCAGAGTCTCCGGTATTTACTTTGTTTTCTCGCTTGTGTCGGCAGTCGTGGCCAAAGGAGGATTCGGACAAGTTTCCGAACTTTCTGGTTGGTTTCTACTGTCCGATATTGTAGCACGCAAACTTTGTTTGGGCTCCTGAACGACACGGGGGAGCAGCGTCTGCCTCACAACCAATCAGGTTAGAGGAGGTGGAGAACGGCTTTGTTCACAGTCAGAAAGAAAATGTTGACTACATATAACAAAACACAGTGATATCGTGATATTACCAAATGTCATCAATAACAATAACTATTGACTGATATTAAAAGTTTTTTTGTTTATACACCACAAAAAAGATGCTTCTTCAACAGATTCCTGCCTACCCCACCTTTAACTACACCACTTCAGCACAAATCAAGATGAATGCTGAATGATGAATGCTTATGATAAAAATGTTATGACTGAATAAAAACACCAGTTAAAGTCCAGATAATATCTAGAATTATATCTAATATCACAGACGGACACTGTCCAAGGCGACAACAGAAACGACCCAACGACTTTCAGTGACATGTTTCAGAGAACTTAAAACGGAGGAGAAGTTTGAAGTGTCTTAAAGTTGGAGCTGTAAAAATCACTCTGAAGGATCTTCTTCTTCGTCTCCGTCCTCTGTCCATCTGTCCATCTGTCCATCTGTCTGAACACAAACAAACATGGAGGCTGTCAGAGCCATCTCCTGTATCATCCTGATGGACCATGGCACACACTCACCGCCATCTGTCACTCACTGACCTTGACACTAATGAGAGCCTGTGCGTGTTGGGCTGTGGGAGATGTGTTATTACGAGTGTGTGTGTGTGTGTGTGTGTGTGTGTGTGTGTGTGTATGTGTGTGTGTGTGTGTGTGTGTGTGTGTGTGTGAATGGATAAGATGTACAGTTGGAGGAACAGGATGACACGCTCGGGTCAACAAAACACAAACAAGCGCTGTGTTTCCTGATTCCACGCCGCCCTCCGCTCCATCTCAAAGATGACACCCAGACAAAAAAATCGTCAATCTGTCCTCCTTCCTGTTCCTGTCCATCATTTATCATCTGTCCGTTTTTAGTGTCTGGTTCTGAGTTTCTGTTTTCAGTTTTACTCTTTGTGTTATAAAAAAAAGGGTGAAAGGTTTAATAAAACTTGGTTTAACAATATTTGAACTCCAGAAAATGTCAAAGAAAAAGTCCCAGAAACCCAAAAATCCAACAAGAGAAAAACAGGAAAACACCAGACACCAACCAACCAACACAGAGGGGATGAAACAGCCACTCTCGTTAGATTTTACCTGTGTCACACCTGAGCTACGGTTTAGTCATCTCCTCTGTGATGTATACGAACTAAAAACTAATCAATTCAAACCTAAATGTTTTTTTGTACGGGGCTGTAAATGTGTTTGTTTCTGCTGCAAAGACTGGATTTTGTTTTGAATGGATGTGTATGTAGCTTCTGAGCTTTCGGAGCCAGCCCCAAGTGGACATAAGCGGAACTGCAGTTTTTAAACATTTTCATACTGGTCTCATTTCTCAAGACTTGAAGTTTATCATTTCAATGGTAATTACGATGCTCCATCTTCTTGTTTCTCCAAAATGTCCAGCAGCAGTTGGAGACACTTCTGACGTCTGGCTTTCAGCTGTTGACCCACATCGCCCCCTAGTGTTGTGGAGGAGGACACGTTCACGTCAATAATTAGATTTTCTCAGCTGCATGTATACGCGGACAAGGACAGAAGTCTGATTCAGAGAAAAAGACGAATTATGATCTTAGTCCGATTAAACTGTGTGTGTAAACGCACTGACTGTTGCTTAGTAACGGCCAATCAGAAACAAGGGTTTCACACAGCACAGTGATGTATATACAGTTTAATAGAAGGTTATTAAATGTTGTGTAGATCACTCTACAGTGTTTCCTCCCAGAGCTCTTAATGGACTTAAATTGGCCCATTTGAACAAACCGATCTCCAGCAGCGGGTCAATAATGTCCACTAAAGTCAAAACTCTATTTGCTCCTGATGTCTGAACATGATTCAGCGGCGGGTACGAGGACGCAGGACGGCAGATTGGTAGCGCTCCTGCAGTCAGATCCACACATTCCTGTTTTCTCTGCAGAGTTCAGACCTCATTAAGGTTTTAATCATCCTCCTCCCCCGGCAGGTTTAAAGACGGCTCGAGGTGTGTGTCCATTAATGCTCAGGTAATTTGTTCCTCTGAGAGTCAGCAGAGGTGACGGCTGGAGGGAGAAACTTTAAACACAGACAGACAGGAGGAGAATTGGAGTCTGAGGCGCCGTGGTTACCGCCTCCTCCTCCTCCTCCTCCTCTGTGACAGATGGCAGAGCTGCTGCGGCGGGACATCTCTGAGGTCTGTGTGTGTGTCGATAAGCTTGGATATGTATGATTGTGAACTTGTGAGAGCTGGAGTGATAACTCTTCTTCTTCTTCAGTTTGGCTGCTCTTCATCACTTTAAAGGATCGCAGGTCAAAGATGATAGAAACGATTTTCTTTCTTTTTCTGATGAAGTGAAAGAACTCATCTATCTTTGAGCGGTAAACAGAAAACTAAAAGCAAGTCAGCGTCTCAGAAACAAAAGAAGAAGAAGCGCTCTGAAGACGAATGATAAAAGCTGTCATGGTTTGTAAACGACCGACCGTCAGGAGGAATAAATGAGGATCTACAGCGGAGATGAACGGCTCACCTAAAGGTGTAAAAACTCATTCCTCAAAGTTAAACTGATGGATCAGATTTTTACTCCTCAGACTAAACAGTTTCATAAATAAAGGAATTAAATGAAGAAATTCTGACAAACGTTCAGTTTTCAAAGTCGTTTTGTTTAAATCATAAAACATTTTATGTCAGATTGATCTCAGATGCTCTTTAAACTTTTTTACTGAATTATCTTAAAATGTGACAAAAAAATGATGAACTCATGAAGAGGAATCCTCCTCTTCCTCTTTGTCTCCTCTTACCGGCAATTTCCACCACATCCAGAACGGCTACGAAAAGACGTATCCGCCAATCGTAGCTGATCGTAACCATCCAAGTTAACGTGTCAATTTACACCGACTTCTTTCCATCAGACGCCGGAGCATGGCGGATAAATTCAGCACAGATTAACCCGTGCTGGAAAGGAAGTCGGGCACAGACACAAAATAAAACATCCGGCTTCTTTTCAAAATAAAACGGGCGGAGACGAACAAGTGAAAGGTTTTTAGACGTCATTTCACCCCGATGACACCATGGATGAGGAGATGCTGATTCTAGAAGTCTAGAAGTAGATTTCCTCCTCTGGAAGGACACAATCTACTGCTTATATGTCTATGTGTCTGTCTTTATAGAGACAACTCATTATCACGCGATTGAACGTGAATCCGCGGGTTTTTGTGAGTTCTTGCGATTCCGGCTGTCCGTAATCCGCCACGAAATTCACCTGACAAACCGGCAGGAACTGGCGCTGAGAATCACAGCTGTTCTTAAACTCTGGGTTATTTATTGCACTGACTTTACTTCCAAACCAAGATTACCCGTCTGTGATGAGATCTTGACTTTTAACCGTCATTGTTTCAAACAGGGAACAAACTTCAGAGGAGGTGAAAAATACTAGAAAAACAGAAAACAGAGACACATCAGTGCAGGTCAGAGTCTGTAAACAACAAGATCCTCAAATGTTTGTCTGTCTGAGTGGGAGTATCCGCCTCGTTCTCTCGCCTCTGATTTCTTAAGGAAATCGAAAAACAAACACTGAACAGTTTCCGACTTTTCATCATGAAGTGAAAATTGAATTCCAGTGAAACAGAAAGAGAGAGCAGCAAGGGGACTCAAAGGTTTCAACGGCCTGTTTCCACCTCAACATTTATGATAACCAAATCCTCCAAACATCATCATCATCATCATCACGCAGAAAAAACAGAACAAACGCCGAATCTATCGTCATAGATTCGTGGAGCCGCGGGGCTTCCTGCCTGAACAGACCAATTAGCGAACCCGGACAGAGCGAGGAAAGGAGCGGCTCATTGGGGAGCTCTCAACCTCAAAAAAAAAACTGTCATTGTTACAGCTCATTATTTTACAACAGCACGCCGGACACCCGGGGAAAAATATCTGTTTTTACTCTGAGGCTAATGAGGACTGAGAGCGGAGATAGATGAGAACGTCAGAGGCTGTCAGAGCGACTTATTTAATTACTGTGAGAAAAATCTGATATTCATGAGTTTGAGAAGAAAAATAAAACACTGTAAAACTAAAACATTTCCATCCTCCAGGTCCGAACTTTTTATCTAGTAAAGAAAACAAAGATCAGATCGTACTTCAGAGATTTAACAGAAGGAGGAAAGAAAAGAGAGGTCGACATAATAGAGAGGAGAGGTGAGAGGAGGATGAAGAGGAAGGAAGAGAAGGAGAAAAAAGGGGAAAAGAGGAAGACAAGGGGACAAGGAAAGGAAGAAGAGCATAAAAGAGGAAGATGAGGGGAAAGAGGAGGAGAGAAGAGTAAGAACATTTTATTTATACAGAACTCTTCATAGATAAAACCACAAAGTGCTTTACAACAAGGATAAATTGCAGTACGGATAAACAAACATATATATAATGGCACAGATACAAGCACTTCACTGAGGCCGCACGACGTCGACATCAGGTAAAAGCTTGTCTAAAAAGATCTTGTGTTTTAAAACGGGTGCGAGGGACCATCAAGAGTTGGTGGTCTGATGACGTTAATGAACATGAGGGGGAGGAGGGTCTCAGCAGGTCAGTGATGTACGAGGGAGTTTGATCATGGAGGACTTTAAAAGCAAAAACTAAAAAAATCATGTTTTTCTTGTCGTCTACACGTTCATAAGACATTTTTCTGATGCTGTTGTTTGATGCGAGTATTCTGAATCTCTGGCGGACCCAAACGGCAGGTTCAGATTCAGTGAGATTTCCTATGTCACAAATCCAAGCTCCGCCCCCTGAACCCTGCCATTAAGGCCAGACTTGAAAAGTAACGCTGACGATCGCAGAACAAGTTAGCGAATTGCTAAAGCTAATTATAATTTTAACTTTCATCATGTCCCTGAAAACATGAGTGTCTCAGAGCTAAAGAGCTCCTATGTTACCTGCTGCTTCTACTACAACGGCGATGTTCGGCTACAAGCATGAAGAGGGGTAATGTGACTTTGGTGAAAAACTTTATAATCACAATTTAAAGACCACTGAGAACATTTTAAGTATTTTTTAAAAGAAAAGATGGGAGCGGGACTTTAAGGCTCAAAAATTCAAGGACCAAAAGACCAGACTCAAGACTTTCCGAGGACGATCTAAACTGACCTGATGAACAAAGTGAAGTTTTGAGAGAAACAAACATGTTTTTAGGATTTTTCCAGTTTATAAAACAGTGAAACTCAACAAGGCCTTAAAGCAGAGTGTGTCTGTTTGTGCGTTAGTGTTGTTATTCATGCATTTAGCCCCTTCCTCTCTCTCTCTCTGTGCTCTTGTGTCTGCAGACGTTTTCATGCCATCATCCGGTGTGGCCATTCGGAACAGGCGTTATCACTGCCGCTGTAGACAAGGTCGGACAAACAGCTACACGACGCGTTCATCTGAAGGTACCGAGGCCTTAAGTCTCCAGGGAAGGAGTGTGAGACGACACACAAAGTGATAAGGCGTGTGTGTGTGTGTGTGTGTGTGTGAGGGAATAACAACAAGCAGGACATGTGCAGGTTTGATTTGTCCGTGAGGATTCATAGGTGGGTTTGTCCGTGTTTGTGTCTCGCTTTTTAAGAGGTTTGTGCCTCTGCATAAATACATCTGTGAATGTTTGTTTTCCTGAGAGTTTAAATACGGAGGAGTGAGAGTCGCCGTACAGAGAGCTCCAGGACAGTTGTTTTATCAGACGAGTGTTGGATGGCTCAATAAATAAATAAAAGTCACTGAGGGGAAGATTCACGTATCACAGAAGTGGAAAAAATAAGGCAAAGCGTCACGGTTTACCTACAGATTCAAGCTGTGGACGTGTTGGAAACAGGCGCTCTGATTTGGACTCTGATAAAAGGTGGTTAGGCAGGAATCCGTTAAAGAAGCATCTTTTTTTGTGGCGTATATACAAAAAGATTTACCGGTCGACCTACGTGCCGACGGAAAGAACAAGATCGTGGATTCAAGCGTCCGAAATGGTTTTCCTGACCCTGTGAAACCTCTGAAACCTGATGGAGAGATGGACCGTTGCCATGCCTGCATGTTAATGAACTCCATGTGAAGTCCTGAGTCGCTCATTTAAGGGAACATTCACATGAAAACGAGGACTGACATATGAGTCGGAAAAATCGAAGATTTATCTTTCTATAAAATTGGTCTGAAACTCAAGAGTCCTTTTAAAATTCAAAGCCTCTTCTCTCCTCGCCTTTTTATTCCATCTTCTCTGCATTCACTCAGGAGGGCCAGGCCGTCTCTTTTCAGTAAATGCCTCTCTGAACAAGGTGCTCTGGGTTCACCTGCAGCCATCGTGCATGACCAGAAACCTGAACAAGGACTTCAGTGTTTCAAAGGAGGGTCAGAGGATCCTCCTCGGACACTTTTAATGAAACTGAGACAAAATCAGGGAAACAGGGATCTCACTTTTCTGGATTGAAGACTGATATCTCACATCTAACCTGATTTACAGGGACTTTTTATCTGTTATTGTGAAGTATGTTTTGTGTTTTATAAGAAAAGGGAGAACGTCTTAGTTAGCCACACAGACTAATTTGAGAACTTCTTTTTTTTGACACTAACAGTTCACGTTTTGCTCTCTCTTTATCTCGTCCTGTGAAGCCAAAGCTCGGTTCAGCTCAGTCTGCGGTTCAGACCCCATGTGGTCTAAAGTGTGTCCCGGAGCTCACTGGAAGGATTAGGCAGGAAACACAAATCTGTCTCCCTGTAGGACGGGGACAAATACGAGCTCTGCTGCTTCAGTGATCTAACAGACCACCTTCTGTTTTATGTGCTGCAGATGGAGCAACTGTGGAGTCGGACACACGCCGTCTCTGAACTTATCAAAGCTGAACTTCATGCATCAAATGGCCTCAGGATGCTCCTTTGTTGGATGAAGCTTTAAAAAGTTCTTCTGGATGGTCCTGAAGGGACAAAAGGGATCATGAATGTTCTTCCTTGAGCTGCGGCACCCCGCTGTAGTCTATAATGGACTGGCCTGAGGTCTCTCTACAAACAAGTGTCTGCTGGAAGAGAGTAGGTGAGTTGTACGCCAGAATATCCCTTTAAGTATGAAATAATGCCTCTCAAAAATAAAGTTTAGAAAAGTTCCTCCTGGATGCTCTACTGGGATTTCAAATACAAACTAACGCCGTTTAGTTTTTCTCTTAATTGTTCAAACATTAACTGAAGACGACTGTAGCTGAAGAAGATTCCCCTTAATGTTTGCATGACGTTATAAAAACACAAACTCTGTGAAGCCCTCGAAGAAAGAAACTTAAAAACATGCCGTCTGGATCACATGAAGTTTTTTTGTTTTAAAGTGTAAAAAGTTTCTTTGTGCTTCTCAAACAGATTAAATATGAAAACTTTTTATGTTTTCGTCTCACTGTGTTTTAGAGAACCTGAGTCCTGCTCAGGAACAGGAAACTTTACAGCTTTTATCCGTCGTCTGAAATAAAGAAAATGTTCCTCTGGTCTTAAAGTCTTTTTTATCACTCCTGAATGAAGCTGCTGCTGCTCTCCCTCCTTTGTTTCCCACTCTTTCATCTCTCTCTTCTTCTTCTTCTTTACCTCTTCTTTCTCTCTGAGTCTCATCTGTGTTTGCGCTCTCGCCCACACACTCTTCATCGGCGCTCGATCCTTTCATCCTTTTTCTATCTCGCCCTCATTTATCCTTTCAACCCTCATCTTCTCCCACACCTCCCAGCCTTCGTTTCCATCCCATCTGTCTGTAACCCTCACTTCCTGTCTCCTTTTTCTGCAGTGCACCAAACAAACGGCATTGATTCAGTTATTTCTTCATTTTTGATTCATGTCCGAAAGAGTCAGAGTGTGAATGAGAGGTCAGGTGATCTCTAATAGGCGGGGTGCAGATGACCTCCAGCCAGGACACGCCCCCTGTACACAGACTAAACCCACATGTTTTGTTTTGACGTCACATCTAACGCTGCAGGGTACAAGAGCGCCTCCGTTATCTTTGCTGCGGGCATTTCTGCGAGCGACTTTGCATGAAGCAGCGGGTGATTTGTCGTTCGCTGATGCAGCTTACACAAAACCGTGAGCCTCCTGACAGTATGTGAGTGTTTGATTGATGCCATGGGGGCGTGATGTGGAAGTGTTGGCGTTTACGGGGTGGTGTAAGGTGAGCTGACACTCAGAGGATCCGTGCAGCTTTCCCACCGCTCACGTCTGAAGTACTTTTTGATTCAGAAGTCTCCCAAACATGGATTCACGTGGTTAATGAGAGGTTTAAAAACCTGTTGACTTTTCCGTCACTTCGCTCCTGGACTCAGAAACACTTTCATTAAACCGTCCCTCCATATTTACCCGCCTGCTTCTCATGAAAGGCGACATATTGAATATGAAACAGGGTCTAAGCCTGATGGGTAATAAACTCAGAGGGATATTTGGCCTGTGTGTGTTATCACCTTGTCATGCTGTGTGTGTTTTTCATTCACGCAGTGTTTAAACACATGACTGCATGAAAGGATTACAAACAGGTTCGGTGTTTGAAGGCGTGTTTTGCTGTGCAGACTGTGTCTGGCGTTAAATTAGGAGTTTTTCTTGTGCAGAGCAGCAACCTTGGTTTTATAAATGCATCACAACAACAAGATGAGAACAATCGCTGAGAGTCAAGCGTGAATAATAAACCGAAAAGTACAAAAATAAAGAGTCAAGCTGCTCAAATAGACTTCATTTAGAAATCCCAACAGTGTTTCTCACAAAGGTGTTTTTCGCCTTTTTTATGTACAAATGTTTTCATGTTCTCCGGAAGTTTCTGAAATAGGAGGTAATTGTAGATGATCAAATCAGGAAGTCGGGTACGAGGTCTCTCAGGAGGGGGGAAAACACAAGTTTCTGATAATGAGTCAAGTTAAAAAGTTAGATGTCGTTATTAAACTGGGGGAACATTTTAAACTGTGAGGTGAATACGTGTTAAAGTTATCTCAGGATGAAGTCTTAAGGCTGCTCAAAAGAAAATTAAACAAACAGGATATAAGATTTGCTGAATTCGAATAGAGAATAAAAGTGCAAAATATACTTGACACTCACTAACAAAATACAAACATCCAGTTTTTCTGCAAACGTTTCAGGTCGAAATTTGTAATTTAAAATAAAGAAACACTTGTGAGCTGAATATGGCAACGACTTTATGGAATGGCAACAATGGAGGAGGCTCCTGAAGAGCCGGTGGAATGAAACTTTTAAGTAGGGTGACCATATTTTGACTTCCCGATAAAAGGACATGACTACGTGGGGGCGGAGTCACAGAGTCACACAAAGTTAATTTTGAGAGTTTTTCGGGTCGGATCGAGTGTTTTTTTACGAACTTCTAACTCAATAAGTCCACGTGACACAAAATGGAAACTTCCGTACCAAACCGCGGACATTTGAAGGATTTTATAAACTTCCTCGGACAGAACTGAACAGCCCTTAAAAAAGAGGACATGTCCGGGTAAAAGACGACGTTTGGTCTCCCTAATTTAAGCATTTCAGACACAAGCTAAAATAAGTAGTTTTTAAATCATAAAGTCACATTAAGCTACTTGACTTTGTGACAAAATAAATAAAAATAAAAATAAAAAGGGACCCAGAGTAGAACCCTGTGGAACTCCATGTGTGAGGCTTCGAGATTTGATCAGCTGTGAAGTATAACATAAAGGCAGGGACAGTCTACATATACATGGGTTCGAGTGTTGAGATAATTCCCCCAAATTTAATAAGTTTTAGTTTTACAGAGTTTAAGTGCACAAATTCAAAACGAGATTTTAGTTTTTGAAAGTTAAATTTGTGATCCAAAGATGTAGACGTTATTTGGTCTCGAAAAAGGTAAAAACCAAGGTGCAGGATAAATGAAAGTAAAAGTGCGTTTAATTTGTTTCCCTGAGGGGGTTTTGGACCGAGAGGCGCAGCAGGAGCCAGACTGATAATGGCTCTAATTGGCCCCTTTCACTAATACGAGCGTAAAAGCCCCGTGAGCAGACTGGTGTGTGACATACAGCGAGGGCACACAGAGAAAAACACACACAGAGAGACGTGAAGGAAAGTGGAAAACTAACTCCTCTGAGCCAGAAACCAGGAGTTTGCTCAAAACCATCTAAAGGTTATCAAAGTTTCTCATCAAACACGGTGAATGTAAAGTTTCTCACGTCTTAAATAACTGAACTCCAGCCTTTCGTTTCTGTTGCTTGTCCTCAGAGTAATATTTTTTATCAGTCTATTTAAGAGCGCGTGGGTTTATCTGAATGACTTGAGTTGTTATAAATAAGAACAGAGACAGAAACAGCCTGTTCTTTAAGCTCTGGAGAGACCTCACCTGCATGAGGCTGATAAACGTTTGCAGCTTATCACACAACCCACACAAAAAACCAGATCAAGACATTAAGGCTCCCAAAACAGAGTCCTACTCACGCCGGGCCTTTTCCTGACAGGTTGGTTTGCTTCTACGCTGAATTCCTGTCGCTCTGAATTGATGTTTAAAAGTCAGATACTGAAGAGAGCTCACTCCTCTGCTGTTTGTGGAGCTTTAATATTTCCATAAACAATCCACGAGATTCCCGGACATCTTTTGAGTTCCAGCCGTTTAAAGCCGACAGAGCAGATTGTCTACGCACAATTTAATAAGGAAAAACCTCAGCAGTCAATTCAATTTCTGAAAACACATTCTAGCTGATTGCCCACAAAGTAGAGGATAACCCACGGGCGGCCTGTTGTTCTCGCCAATAATATGTTTGACAGGCTGTGTGGCTTCATGCGAGGCAGAATAAAATGAGCAAAACTCTCCGAAGGAATTCCCAGCCGTCTGTTCTTCGGCAAACAGGGAGCAAAGGCTGTCATATTTGTGAAATCCTCTGGATGTTTGTCGGGGATTTGCCGTCACATTAAGCTGTCGGAAAACGGAGACCTCAGCGGCTCAGAAGTCTTTAAAGTTTTCAGAGGGACCGCAGGAAGGGGAGGAAAGAGACGGAGGAGGTGTCCAGTTCAGTCCGCAAAGTGAGATAAAACTGAATATTAAAGGTTAAAAGTTAAACCACAAATAACACAAGAACTTTGTGAGAGTATTGTTTAAAAAGCACAACAAAAGGCTTATAAAAAACCCCCGATGAATATCCATCTTTTTATACAACAGATCCGTTAATGTCTCTATAAGCAACTGAACTTCTTCATCTGTGGAGTCCCACAAGGCTCTACTCTTGGTCCACTCTTCTTTTTTATCGTTTAACTTCTACAAGGTCTAATTATTCAAAAACACAACATTTCATTCTAATGTTATGCAGTACGGTTGTCAAAAGTATCGATACTTAAACGCCGTATCCGGATACGATACTAGTTTGCCATGGTATCAATACCATGGCGTGCATTCTGCAAGCAGCGCAGCCGACCCTGCAGACAGTGTCCAGTAGTCGTGTGAGCCCTCACCAGCCAGGTTAGTAAAGCTCCCGTTCATCCTTTACCTTACTGTATTTAACTGATTAATGATGTTAGTCGGGCCGGTGGCCAGCATTAACCTGGAGTAGTCAGTGGTAGCCGCGGTTAGCTTTATGCTCAGTGAATGTTGGTTGTTTTGTTATTAGCCATTAGCCGAGGGCTCAATCCAACCCAAAAAACTCTCAAAATTAACTCCATGTGACTCCGTGACTCCACCCCTTGCGTAGTTGTCGCCTCTTTTTGGGAAGTCAGAATACGGTCACCCTAAATCTGGACTAACTGTTGACGTATAAGTTACGTCTATTTATTGGTTTCAAAATCATAAAAGGATAAATTAGATTCAGTCTCTGGCAAAAGCGTAGTCAAGCTAAAGGTATAGAAAAAAGACTCTGCCCTGGAATTGAACCCTGA